TTGCACAGGAAGAAAAACACTTCTTATATCAATACAGGTAGAATTCAAATTTTATTAACCCAGTCAATTTTCAGAATGAACAATAAAAAAGTTTTCTAATAATTTTAATATGTTTGTAATACAATAGATGGCGCTATTTTAAATTTTAAACTCTTAGGCTCCATTACCTCTACTCATTATGTTATTTTCTTAGTTGCTGTCAGGAGTAGCAGGTCTGCTGGTGAACTTAAGTAGTAGTTGGATAGTGAGCAACATTCTATTCATAATCTACGTATCAGGGGTTCTCAACTTTGGGTACCTCGCGACTTTCGTTGTGGATGTTTTCCCTACATATGTCAAGTAAGTACAACTTTTTTTGCATTCTAAGACCTTGTAAACAAAAAATTACACACCTTATCTTTTTAAGCGTAATATTGAGGCTAGTAGCAATATATTTACCTACAATGTTTCGTGCAGAGCTATGGCGGTTTGTCTGTGCTTGATGGTGGGCCGAGGTAGCTCAGTGTTGGGAATCAACATCCTCAAGGCATTACTGATGGACCACTGTCAGCTTTCCTTCTATTTCTTCGCCGGACTTACCATAGGTTAGTATATTACTCATACTATTGTATATTTGATTTTAATTAGGAAAGATAATGTTGGATGTAAATCATAGTTCTTTTCGGGCGTTACTAGGGGAAACAAGAGTGTGGTTTCCCCAATCTTAAATAGTCAAAAATTGTAAAAAAAAAGTGCATAGATTAATTAAAAATACTTAGGTTCCAACAATCCTTTGCGAAAGTTTAAATGGATGGATATTTGTTAGAGTTTGTAGCCTAAACTGCTAAACGGATCTCGATGAAATTTTGTATAGATGTAGAGGATAGTCTGGAAGAACACATAGACTACTTTCATTTATTTTGTTTTAATTCTACGCAGACGGAGTCGCTGGCATATTGTTTATAATACTAGCCTCTCCGTGATCTGCTCTCCAACACTAGATCTCAAGCTGGTGACGCACATGTTGGTTCCATGTAATTCTAAATAGTTACGTTTTTCAGTTGGAGGTCTGCTAAGTTTCCTGCTGCCTTCAGATTTAGAGAAAAAGAAGAAAGCAGAGCCTTGAGCTATTTTAAGAATTTTATGAAAATTATACACTGGCTGTGATATTGTCAATTATTATATTTAAAATGACGGGAATCCAGAGGCTATTTTTTTGATGGAGATAAAGAAAAAATGTATTTATGTTCTAATTTTTGTATTTGATATGCGTATTTCAATCTCAATAATTTATGGTGCATTTGTTTGTTTTAATATTATTTTGTTTACAAAACATTGAAGAATGTATAATGAGTTATTGTTACATAAATAAATGTGAAATCTTGTGATATCATGTGATACATTTATTTTAATGTTTTTTGTGACAAACTACTTATCTATTAAATGGATACATTTTATAGTTACTTTCACTTTTTTTCCTTATCAATGCTAACGTAATTTAATCTACCTTCTAATAGATTTATTACAAACCTTAAGTCTATCGTATTACGTTCTAAATCAGTACACAAAATTTACATTGACATTTTCATGACCATTTTTTTAACTACCCACAAAAATATTGATTTTATTAAAAAATTGTAATATCTCGTTCATTTATATCGCTTCAAGGCGACAGAACGCACGTGCCTTTACTATGTTATACTTATGTACAATATGTTTACATTAAAATCAGTTATATACATATTTGTGTACATAACAGTTGTCTGTCCGTTGATTAAAGTCCAGTGTCATGAAAGGATAGACATTAAAAAACAAAGTTACGATGAAAATGGTAAGTTATAAAGCTTTATCACATAAAAAATTAGAGGTTTTGCTACATTTAATCAATATAATATTTTTCAAACACAACGATATTAGACTATATAATTTCGAATATAATCTTAGACTATGTTCATTAAATTATCATTATGTATTTCATTAGGCGAAGTTAAGTTCGCATGGCAATTTGTTATAATTTCTAGAACACGTTCATGGTACTCCGCCGTGCGAAATCTGCCCCCGGAAAGGAATCTGCGTGCCCAAAGTACAGTGCCCTGCGCACGTGAGACCCAACTCTAACCACCTTCTATGTCATCTAGAACATTCTAGAAGTATCGGCGTATGCTGCTTTACTGGTCAACAACATGCAGGTAACATTTTCGTATACACAGACAAAAAATTCGATAAAACGGATATCTTTAAAATTGTTACAATAGCTTCCACTTAAATTACTGTTTAAAGGACAACAAACAAGTACGAAAAGTACTGTTGTCTCTATTTTGTCAAAGTAAATAAGAGAGATGACGATAGAAATGTAATGATTGTTTAATGTTTTTATCTTCTTACAGCGGAATCGGATCACAAAATGCGTTCGTCCAAAATGGGCATAGAAGATATGAAATCTGCTCACAAACTGTCGCATCAGAAAGTCGCAGAGTGGCTCAGAACAGCAGAAAACTTGCTAAAAGATAATACCACCATTGTGGATATTTCAGCTCCTAGTTACGGGCATTTTTTGGTAATTACTAGGCGAAGTGCGCCTGTTGATATAATAATGCAAAACCATTAAAGTAAAACTTTGCGGATTTTTTTATGTTTATTCTAACGACATTTATAACATTTTTTTGGCTTAAAAATTATGTCTATTGCATTTCAGTTTTAAAATAATTTTACGTATATTCCAGTCGACGGTGACATACGACGAACGAGCAAAAGAATTGGGACGTGGTGGTTTGCTGAACATGTTCGCTGCACGGGAGTTGAAGTCTCGTCAAGCTATCTCTGATGATGAACTTGCGTTGGGATTCACTGATCACACCGACGGTATGTCCTTTAGTAAAAAGTCGTTTTTAAATTATTTAACATTCAATGCAACAACTCGTACGATTTACGCGTTAGTGCAAAGTGTTAATAATAGTCTGTTCACTTAATGATTTTCAGGACCATACTGCCCCCCACTCCCTAATTGTCCACCAACAGAGAGCCGGTACAGAACTTTAGGTGGGCAATGTAACAATGTCAAATATCCGAGCTGGGGCGCCACTAACACAGCCTTCGAAAGATTGTTGCCTCCTGACTATAGTGATGGTAAGATAAATGTATTAAAAGGAAATAAATCAGGAGATCAAATCAAACCATGTATCTATTCAAGTTAATGTTAAAGGAACTAAACTCAAAGGAAAGAAAGATAAGAGTGAATTGACTAAAGTAGGGTCATGGGAAGACAATATTGAAATAAAATGGTTTATGTCATTAACACATTCATACGCAGGTATTTGGGCGCTGAGAAAGTCATTGTCAGGTCTTCCATTACCCAGTGCGAGGACAGTCAGCCATCGACTGCTGGTGGACGCCAACAATCCCAGCCGCACACACAACCTTATGTTCATGCAGTTCGGGCAGTTCATAGCACATGACATCAGCGCTGGAGTCGTGTACACCGCAGGTTAGTTAGAAGACAGAGAATACAATCTTTTTACTTAATTTCACATTAATACACACAAACACTTAATGCATCAGCTGCTTTTGCTGCAACACACGACAGTAAGAGCGGGCGCACACTTTTGACTCAACTATCGCAGAACAGTTGCGGGATTGTCGATTGTTTTCGCAGCCAATTCAACTCTTTAGTTGCATAACTAAAAAATCGAGTAGTGTGCGCACCTCCATATAATCTCATAAGTCAGAGCGCGACTAAACAGCTGTACGTTTTTCATAGGCGTTCGCGTGCTTTAATCTTAATCTTTATATACAGGAGATAACAAGCCGATATCGTGTTGTATCGGAGATGGCAAGGCACCTCTGCCCCCACACCTGCGGCACTGGGCCTGCGCCCCCATAGAAGTTGAACCTAATGATCCCTTTTTTGAACACTTCGGAGTCCGCTGCATCAACTTTGTTAGGGCACAACTGTCGCCGGCAGCTGATTGTTCAGTTGGATATGCGAAGCAGGTAGATTCAAATATTTAAATTGTCATCACTCTTATTGTCTTTTTCTTGGAAATATCTTCTATACTACTGGAATGGTAATCATGTGTTATTTATGTATATTGAGCTATTTGTAGACGACCAAATATAAATTTCAGATGAACGGCGCAACTCAGTATCAAGACTTATCCCATATTTACGGCAGTACTAAAGAGAAGACGGATTCATTAAGAGCTCCTGGAGGTCTACTCAAGGTATTCAAAGACTACGGGAGAGATCTTCCACCTGCTACTGACAAAAAAGACTGCTTGAACAGCAAAGGAGGTGTTTGCTTCGACTCTGGTAGGCATTATTAAATACAGACAAATTTACATGTAATCTGAGAATAATCGTACTTCCTTATTGCATTATTCAGGCGATAACCATGCCAATCAAATTCTATCCCTCACCGTACTGCATACCATTTGGACGAGAGAGCACAACCGTGTAGCGAGAATCCTCGCCCGACTCAATCCGAAGTGGACAAATGACACTGTGTTTATGGAGACCAGAAGAATTCTTCAGGCGGAATTCCAACATATCATTTACAATGAATGGCTGCCGTTGCTACTTGGTGAGATCATCTTAATACATTTTTTAATCTCATTTTTACTCAGATCTGTGAACGAAGAACCTTTTTATTATCGTCTTTTTAGTTTCCTATTGCATGATAATTGTTTCTTTTAGGTCCTCAAATAATGCGAGAATTTCAATTACTTACGTTTCCCGGCTACTCGTCAGGATATGATCCCCAAGTGAATCCGTCACTGACAGTAGAATTCTCTGCGGCAGCGATGAGATTCGGACATTCTGTTGTTGATGGGAAGATCATGTAAGTACCATATTTTTAGTAATTACAAAAATTAGGACTAGTTTTTAATATTTTCCGTGAAATTTAACCAAGATGGTATTCAGTCGATTGTTTAATTTGTTTAATATTTCAATTGCAGGGTTCCAGGTCCGAAAAGTGGGGAAATATATGAAACAATATCGATACCGGAAATAATGCTGCAGCCTTCACGATTACGACTTTTGCCTTTTCTGGACAGAGTACTGATTGGTCTTTTGATGCAGCCTATGCAGTCGGTTGATCCTTTTATTACTGAAGGGGTTAGTTAATACATAGATAACAAAGTTATGTTAAAAAGTTCTGGAGTTAAAGCAGTAATTCTTTTGTTTCCAGTATGTACATAACTTTGATTTGAAATATTGTTATTACTGATTCTAGAACAGTTAGTCATCAATCCTTCATTTCTTTCATTCTTTAATTTAAAATTCTCTCTGATTTGTTTGTTTTTCAGTTATCCCGTTATATGTTCCGTGGCGTAAAGCCTTACGGGTTAGACCTTGCTGCTATCAACATCCAGCGCGGCAGAGACGTCGGCCTGCGCTCCTACAACCACTATAGAAGACTCTGCGGCCTCAAGCCTTTCACTGACTTCAAGCAATATAGCATTATTGTACGTACTTTACATAAACTTAATTCTATCTTTTTGTAACGTTAAAAATACTATTCTTTTAGATTCTGATTAGTTGTATGGTACTTAATTTCTTCTGTAATTACTTTTTCGATCGACTGCGCAACCATGATTAATTAAGACGGAAGAGTGCATCAAACGGAAGAACCTTGATAATGTAGTTAGAAGCGAAACTGTGGTATTCCCAAAAACCGATTAACGATTTTAATAGTCTAGCTAAATCGAATCTTCTGGAACAACGAATATAATATTCGACATAGTAAATTTACTTATTATTGAAATTTTCAGACTGCCCAACGTCTCTCATCAGTTTACCAGAGCCCTGAAGACGTAGATTTATGGATCGGTGGACTTCTAGAAGCGTCTGTGGAAGGCGGTGTAGTCGGACCGACATTTGCCAACATAATAGCAGATCAGTTCATAAGAATCAAGAAAGGCGATAGATATTTCTACGATTACGGACCAGATGTTAATCCAGGAGCGTTTACACCAAGTAGGTGTAATAGCTGTTCAATTTTAAAGTTACCACCGTACGAAAATGAATTATCTGTTAATTTTTATGCTTAATCGTTTTTCTTTTTTTTTAACATAAATAAACCAGCGCTTGACCACGACTCCACCTAACCTTCTTTCCTTGTTTTTGTAGGTCAACTAGCAGAGATCAAGAAGGTTACATTTTCAAGTTTGCTATGTGATAACAGAGATGGCGCTGAATTCACCTTACAGTCTCCGAATGCTTTTCTAAGACCAGATCTACCTGGGTAAGAAATACATTTGGTTCTTCATTTGAACAAATTACATAAAAACACGAATTATTGAAACAATTATTTTTATAAATAGTACAAACGATTTGATCTTTGTGTTTTAATTTTCAGGAACGAGCCGGTATCATGCGATAGTCAACTTATTCCAAAGATTGATCTAAATAAATTCAGAGAAATTTAAACAAAATCTAACAAATATCATTGAAACTAAATACCACAGGCCTTAACGGAACATTTGTACAGTATCTTGCAACATTTTAGGTTATATTTCTATCTGTCACAG